GATAAAGTGGGTTAGCCGTGGGAAATGCATGGTTACAGGGATGGGGTGGGTCTGGGTGGGAAGCTCTTTGAAGGGTCAGTATGGGCCAAATGGCCTGCATCCACACTTTAGGGATTCTGTGGTCACTAATGTTTTTTACAGAAGGAATCTGCCGTCCATCCCTGGTCTGGCCTACATGTGACTCCAGTCCCACAGAAACATGGTTGCCTCTGAAATGGCGGAACAGGTTACTCAGTTCAAGGGGCAGTGAAGGAGGGACAGCATATCCTGACCCAGCCAGTGACACCCACAGCTCAGGAAAGAGTAGAGGAAGCAAGATCTACCAGACTGCTCTGTGAGATACAGGGTTCACTCAATCTTTAGCTCAAATCAGTACCGTAACTGCAGTTTTCAATTCAGTGAGGTTATTTTAGCCAGTATATGAGGCACGGTCAGTCCTTCTCAGGCTGCTTTTGTGATGAACAGAGAAGCAAATGACTGAGCAGCTTTTGCAAATCGCGCATGTTTCCATGTTTACGACATGTACTGGAGCAAATCAATATTCCTGACACTGAGCTAAATGTTTCACTTGATTCCTGCAGAACCTGTGCGTTAGTTTACAACCTCCAGGGAGGAAGCTGCCTCCCTGTCAGCCAACCGGCACGAGTTGTATATCTGACTCTCCACTGTCAGCTCGGAGATTTGGCAGCTTCTACAGAGGCAGTGGGGCCTGAGAGATACAGAACAAAATGGAGCAAAACCCCACACACCCCCAGTACGAGCGTGATCTCTCAGGCCTTGACACTGGGAGTGTAACCAGATACTAAGGGGCTTGGCCAGACCCCGGGGATGGGAAGTGGGGGCAGGTACTGAGAATGGGGGCAGATACTGGGGAGTGGGGGCAGTCACTGAGAATGGGGGCAGATGCTGGGGGGGGGGGGCAGTCGGGAGGGGGGGGGGGAGGGGGGGGGGGGGGGGGGCCCGGGGGGGGGGGGCAGGTACCGGGGGACATTGCTGTGCAGAATGGGGCAGAGGAGGAAAGACAATTTTCCAAACCCACCATCAGCTCCAACAACCTCCTGCATGTTCCCATCTCACTCACCATCCTAACTTGGAAATATATCACTGTTCCTTCAGTGTCGCTGGGTCAAAATCCTGGGCTTCCCTCCCTCAGGTCAACTTATAGCACATGGCCTGCAATCCCTCAGTGCCTGGACCGTCTGCGCCCTCCCTCAGTGTCTGCGCCCTGCCTCACCGACTGCCCCCTCCCTCACCGACTGCCCCCTCCCTCACCAGTTGGACCCTATGTGTCTGGATCTTCACTGATGTGTAGGTGCTGGTGTTGGACATCAGAAATCACACACCAGGGTATAGTCCAACAGGTTTATTTGAAATCACAAGCTTTCGTAGGTGAAGTGACCTGACAAAGGGGCAGTGCTGAGAAAGCTTGCAATTTCAAATAACCCTGTTTTTGGACTATAACCTGGTGTTGTGTGGCCTCTGACCTGGGCCTTCACTGAAAGTCCTGGCTGAGATGGGTCGACACTGAGCCAGGATGGGGAGGGCGTGGAGGTCCTTAAGGAACTTGAGTTTCCAATCGCAGCCCCTCGTTGACAGATAACTGGTTCTGAACGTGGAGGTGTAAAAACTGTTCATTAGCTGGAACTGTCTCTGCAGGAAAATGTCTCTTTGTGATAATATTGCTCCATTAATCCTGTAAACATTTCAATCAGTGAAAGCTGGTTATTGGCTGGACACAGTCTACTGGCTTGCTGCTTTATTCAGCTGCTGTTCTGTAATCTCTTTGCTTTAGGGTAATATTCCTTCCAGTGATTTATTTTGTTATATTATGTTTTCTCATTTCCAATCTGCCTGGTCTTTTTCACAGTGTTTCCAATCGACCCAAGATCATCTTCCTCCCTGTGGAGCTGCAGCAGGGAGGAAAGGGAGTGTGGGCAGACAGACTGAGCTCAGCTCTTCCCCCTTGTTACAGACAGGCCTGCAGACCCTGTCCACCCTCATCCACTACTGGCCATTGGCTCACTCTCAGCAGAAGCTGGGGTGCTGCCTGGTTAGGGCATGGTGTGGGTACTGGGTCAGACCAAACAAAACCACTGTCACCCTCTGAGGGTCCCACACTGACTAAGGGCATGACCCCAATATCCAGACAGCTATCTGAAACATGGACACATAGAAACTAGGAGCAGAAGGAGGCCATTTGGCCCTTCGATCCTGCTCTCCCACTCAATATGATCATGGCTGATCATTCAACTCAGCCCCCTGTTCCCACCTTCTCACCATTAATCCTTTGATCCCATTAGTCCTATGAACCATCTCTAACTCCTTCTTGAAAATATTCAATGTTTTGGCCTAAATCATTTTCCGCAGCAGAGAATTCCACAGGTTCCCCACTCTCTGAGTGAAGACATTTCTCCTCATCTCAGTCCTAAATAAACTACACTGTATCCTCAGACTGTGACCCCAATAAGACCTGGGTGTACTTGTACGCCAGTCACTGACAGTAAACATATAACAGAGGGTGAAGAAAGCAAATGGTATGTTGGTCATCATAGTGAGAGGATTCAACTACAGGAGCAGAGATGTCTGGCTGCAATTGTACAGGGAGTGACCAAAATTGGAGGACTGTGTGCAGTTTTGGTTTCTTTATCTGAGAAAGGGGTCTGAGCACTGATCCCTGCAGGACCACACTTGTCACTCACAACCGCTTAGAAATGATCTGTTTATTTCTCTCTGTTTCCTGCCTGCCAACCAGCTCTCTATTCATGTCAGTACACTATCTGCAAATCATGCACTTTAATTTTACATGCTGATCTCTGAAGTGGGAATTTATCAAATACCTTCAACTGGCTCCCCCTTATCAACTCTACTAGTTACATCCTCAAAATATCCAATCAATTTGTCAAACATGCTACAATGTAAGAAAGTGGCAGATCCCACAGAGCTATGTGATAAATGACCAATAATCTGGTTTGGCTGAGGATTCATGTTGGCTAACTAAGTGTTGGCCAGGACTTCGGGGAGCCTCTCCTGCTTGAACTTTGCCATAAGATCTTTAAGATCCAGTCGAGGGGGCAAATATGTTCCCAGTTTAAAATCTCAACCAAAAGATGGCCACACCATAGAGGAGCACTCCCTCAGTATAAAGAGTTGCTTTGGAGCTGCAATGTAGTTGAGTTAGGAAGTCTATGCTTGTAATGTTTCACTCTGTAAATGAATACAGGGCTGAGTAAAGGCTGTTCCAGTATCAAATTTTACCAACATTTATATTTCTGGAACATAACTGAGTGTCACTCATTTAGTCTGTGATTCATTTAAAAATATTCCCCTGAAGAATACAGTGGAGGATGTGGCATACAATGGACAAAGAAATGCTTCGGCTGGTCTGGGGAAACAGTGAATTTGTTAAAACTACAGAATGGGTTTCCAATACTAAACAAGTGAAATGCAAACTGGTCAGTCCCTGAATGAGCTGCTTGTAGCTCAAAGTCCTTATTGCAGAGTTTTATATTGGAGGTTTTATGTTTGGATGAGGTTGGGGTGTGGGTCCTTGCTGGTAAGTGGGGATCCAACATAAATTAACTGAATGGCAGAATTGATTTCAGCAGCTGAGGGACAATTCCTGTTCTTATCTCTCCTGTTGTGAGTAATTCCCTTCTTCATGCACCAGCTTCCTGACCCTTATCCAGTGCCTGTCCCCTACCAGTGCCTGCCCCCTACCCAGTGCCACACCTACCCAGTGCCCTGCCCCCTACCCAGTGTCTGCCTCCTACCCAGTTCCCTGCCCCCTACCCATTTCCCTGCCCCCTACCCAGTGCCTGCCCCCTACCCAGTGCCTGCCCCCTACCCAGTGCCTGCCCCCTACCCAGTGCCCGTCCTGTGCAGGGTCAGTCCACTCTCCCCTTGCAGCTGGTGGCTGACGTGGCCCTGGGCCTATTCTCTAGCTCTCCCTCCTCCCTGTGGATTGCGCCTTGGGCACTTGTTGCTGCCACCTCCAGCCTATGCTGTGCTGGCTCTTCACTGCGGCAGAATGGGTGCCATTTGGCCCATTGTTGCTGTGTCGGCTCACTGAGACAGCTGTCAAATGAGACCCACCCTCCTGCTCATTCCCTGTGACCCACTACTATTTCTCCAATTCACTTTGGAAGTTCCCATTGGATCTGCTCCCAATGCCCTTTCAGGCTGCACATCCTGGATCATAACAACCCTCTACAGAGAGACATTTCTTTAGGTTTCATCCTTAGTTTTGAGAAATTACTTGTAATCTATGTCCCTTTGCTCACCAATCATCCAGCTTCTCCTCATTAACTCAACTGAAATCCTTCTCCATTCAACCTACCTTTGCCTGACTCTGTTCAGAGGATGATAATTTCAGGTTCTCCATGTGACTGAAATCCTGATCTCAGTTACAGTTATGGACAATCTGCTCTTCTCCCTCTCCAAGATGTTCTGGAATGTGGAGCTCCCGGAATCAGCCACTGGAATAATCAATCAGGCCCCTTTCCCTACACCAGGCTCCATGCACGAGGTCAGCGAGGTGTTAGTGTGGATGAGTCACTCAGGAACCCGGGTTAGTGTTCTGGGAACACGGGTTTAATGATGGTCACTATGTTACTGCTGTCAATTGTTAGAAAAGCCCATCTGCTTCACTAGTCTCCTTCAGGGAAGGAATCTGCTGTCCTCACCTGGTCTGGCCTACATGTGTATCTAGGCTCACAGCAAAGTGACTGTTAACTGCCCTCTGAAGTGGCACTAGCAAGTCACTCAGTTCAAGGGACAATTAAGTTTGGGTAACAAATACTGACCCAGCCACATCCCTGGATGAAGAAAGGAAATTAATTTACTCCGCAAAAGCCATTTTTCTCCTGACTGTTCAACATGGGTCTCAGGTGACTGTATACCTGTGCTCTCTGAGCCCACTCTACAGACCATGGGCTGGACAGTATCACTCTCTCAGGAGCTGGTTACCAGCCTTCACCCACCCCGCCCCCCCGCCGTGTTACCTGAATATCGTCTGCCGTCAGGTGACTCTTCATCTCTGTCTTCTTTTCGGGGGCTGGTGGTTTATGGGATGGAGGGAGGTCAATCCTGTTTGTGACAGAAACAAAGATTTCAGTTTCAGGGAACAGCTGCTGCAGACAATCCCATGGATTCTGGGTGGAAGAGGGCAGGCGGGGGGTGGGGGGAGACTTGTTGGTGTGTTTGAAGTCTCTCATTTTCGAACCGTCTCTCAATGTTCATCATGGGCCGAGCCCCATCCCTGTCCTGCTGGCTGATGGCTCCTACACTTGCTGCATCACTAATCCCTGCTACTGTGCAATGCTTCATAGGTGCTCCTCATTCATTTAACCATCTGTCACTGATTGGTGTTAATCCTACTCTCCTGCTGTTTACACTGAATCAATTGTTGTAATTACTGGCCCACATGGAGTGACAGTAAGAATCCCCAGTCTTATAGCTCATAGCTCAGTGAGATATTGGGCTATGACCCCATGATAATACTATTATTCTGTGCAGCACTTCAATGGACCATGAGATGTGCCCAGAGAGACAGACTATAGTAAAATTAGTTTCAGAGATAGTAGGAACTGCCGATGCTGGAGAATCTGAGATAACACAGTGTAGAGCTGGATGAACACAGCAGGTCAAACAGCATCAGAGGAGCAGGAAAGCTGACGTTTCGGGACCTAGACCCTTATTCAGCAAAAGGAGGAGCTTTCCTGCTCCTCTGATGCTGCTTGACCCGCTGTGTTCATCCAGCTCTACACCTTGTTATCTCTATAGTAAAATTAGCTTTCCTATCACTCATGCCTGACTAACTCTGAGTGAATCAATTCACCTGGGCCAAATGGAACTGACTTGGGAAGTTCTAGGGGATTCCAGAATGTGCTGGCAGAACGCCTGGTGGCAACATTCTGGGACTTGTTTAGAGAATGGCCACACAGAGTGGATTGGGAGGTGATGCAGGAAAATTCAACCATCAGTTGCTAAGGACAACCAGAGCATTGAGGACAATCTAAGACAGACTGTCAGCCTGGATTTCACAAATCAAGACAAACCTGAATTTATTTTTAACAAAGTGGCAACGAACACAGGCCGCAGGCGAAGGGAGGGGCTGTGGGGCACTGGATTTCAATAAGACTTTCAATCAGATGACACATGGAAAACTGGCAAAAGAACCAAAGACAAGATGAAAGCAAAGGACGAAAGGCTTATATTTATGCTTTAGACGATTATTGGACATCTCAGAGCTCTTTACTGTCTCTGAGGTATTTTTGGAGTGTGCAGCTGCCTACTGTCGTACAGCAAGATCCCACATGCAGCAATGTGATACAGACCATTTCATCTTTTTTTTGTGACGTTGGCTGAGGAATTATAATTGGAATAGAGGTAGTGAGGGATGGAGGGGAGGGATGGAAGTAGTGAGGGGTGGAGTGGGTGAGGAGATGAAGTAATGAGGGGTGGGGGGATGGAGTTGAAAGGAATTGGAGGATATAAGGGTTGGGGGTAGGAGGGGGAGTGGATTAAAAAGGGTAAAGAGTTGAAGGGTGAGGATTAGAGGGGGTAAATTATATAGAAATAAAATACAGAACAGTACAGCAAGGAACAGGCCCTTCAGCCCACCATGACTGTGCCGACCATGATACCCATCTAAATGATCCCCATCCGCCTGCACACGGTCTGTATCTCTCTATTACCTGCCTGCTCATGTGTCTGTCTAAATGCCTCTTAAACATTGCTATCCTTTCTGTTTCTACCACCTCCCCTGACAGCACATTGTAGGCACCTACCACCCAGTGTGTAAAAAATGTGCCTCATGCATCTCCTTTAAACTCACCCCCACCTCACTTTAAACCTATGCCTCCTGTATTTAATATTTCCACCCTGGGAAAAAGATTCTGACTATCTGATAATTTTAATATATTTCTATCAGGTTGCCCCTCAGCTTCCAACACGTGAATGAAAACAATCCAAGTTTGTCCAACCTCTCCTTCTAGCTAATACACTCCAATCCAGGCAATATCTTTGTAAATGTCCCTTGCATCCTCTCCAAAGCCTCCACTTCCTTCCCACAGCGTGGTGACCAGAACTGTACACAATACTCCAAATGTGACCTGACTAAAGTTTTATACAGCTGCAGCATGACTCACTAACTTTCAAACTCAGTGCGCTGACTGACAAAGGCAAGCATGCCATCTGCCTTCTCTACCACCTTATCCAATTGTGTTGCCACTCTCAGGGAGCTATGGACTTGCACCCCAAATCCCTCTGTATGTCAATGCTCCTAAGGGACCTGCCATTTACTGTATACTTTCCTCTTTCACTTGATCTCCCAAGATGCATCACCTCACACTTGTTTGGATTAAACTCCAACTGATATTTCTCCGCCCAATGTTCTAGCTGATTTATATCCTGCTGTATCCTCTGATAACCTCCTAGCACTGTGTCACAGCAGTGTGTACCATCTACAAGTTGCATTGCAGAACTTCACTAAGGCTCCTTAGACAGCACCTTCCAAACCCACAACCACTTCCATCTAGAAGGACAAGGGCAACAGATACAAGGGAACACTATCCTGACTTGGAACTCTATCACCGTTCTTTCCGTGCTGCTGGGTCAAAATTCCTTCCCCAACAATGTGGATCCTCCTACACCTAAAGGATTACAGCGGTTCAAGGACACAGTTCATCATCACCTTCTCCAAACTGTTAGGGATAGACAATGAAGTTGGGCTAAATAGTGACACCCACATCCCACGAATGAATAAGAAAAAAGGTACTGTACTTTGAAGCATTGAGATTGTGAAAGGCTATACAGAAATCCATGTCTTTCTCTAATGAATGTACAAAGACAATGTGTGCTGCTGTCATAAAGGCCAGAGCATCACTGTTTCTAACTCACAGTAACAATGCAATCCTCTGGGACAGTGTATAAGATGGGCCGAAGGGCTAAAAGTTAATGATGATATTCAACAGCTGCATGAGAAGATAGATTGTATAGGTTGGGCTGAATGGCTAAAATGGTTGATGATACTTGACAAGCTGCATGACCTTGGTTGAGTCTTGTTAACATTCCTTTATGGGCTGAAGACGGCACCTGCAAACTTGTTTTTTCTGTTGCTGTGGTTCGTCTTCTGTATCTGCTTTCTTTGTGCTAGCTGTTTGTTACACTGTATAAGAGAGAGAGAGATTTTCTTCCAAGTCATTGGACTTTGCTTCGGACTGGAATTGTGAACAATGCCAGGAGCAAGCTCAGCCTCCAGACCAGCCTCGATCGAGGGGGCCCGACAGGTGAAAAGGCGTGAGGCTTATTGTTTTTTTCCTTTTTTTTCATTCTTTTTATTTACTTAATAAATGTTCCTTTTTTTTTTGTCTTTTATTATTACTCAATAAATGTTCATTTTTAAGCAAATTGCTGTTGTCAAGCCGTCTCTTAACTACATTTGACCAACTCTGTAAAGAACTGCTTGGATGTGCTCTGTGATCCAAGACAGAGAGGGAATGAAACCAGGGAGTCCCATGGCTGATAAAATGTGGAGGGAGTGAGGGTTAGATGGGGGGGTGTTAGAGGGGTTGAGGATTGGGAGTAAAGGGTGGGATAGAGGATGGGTATTAATTGTATACATTGAGGTGGGGACACTTATTGAGTAATGACTTAGGCACCTATAAAGAGACAATTGCCCCTTTAAGGGGTACTATATTACTGAGTTGGTGTATTGGTTTAATTGTTTTACTCAAAAGAATATAAAGAGCTATGTGTCTCACACAACCATAGGTTACGGTTACTCACAGACCACAAGCTGTTTCTGCAGCATTGGAGTGCCCAAGGTCCACATTAATGTAGGTTCTGAATGGTTACAGCCCCTTTGTCATTATTTGAGGGGAGGTGGGCTGATCAGACGACATCCTCAGGGCCTGGCCAGCTAACAAGTCCACAGAGTGGGTAGTTGAGGTCTCAGCTGACCCAATAGCCTGTCCCTTGTCCATGATGATGTGTGTGTTAAGGTGCCCCCTGAGAGGGACCACACAGTCTGCTGGAGGCTCCCCAATATCAGTGGGCACTGTGGGAGTTGGAGTGTGCCATCAGTCCCAGGAGCCGTCTTTGAATTCAACTTTATACATTTCCGTTAAAGTTTTTGTTATTTGTTAGAGTGCTCCTTTAAGGGATGATCCAGCAGTTCAGTAGTTTATTTGTCATGCACTTGAACTCCAAAGAGGTATAAAGAGACACTTAATGAGACTGGTGGTGGGTTGTAAAGTTAGAAGCTTCCCATTTGTAATGTCTCACTTTGTGAGTTAATGCAAAACTGAGTAAAGACTGAACATTGGTCTCCCTCTTTACCACGTGGCTGCAAGAGGTTTAACAAGGGTAAGGAGTAAATATGTTCACTCCAATCCACAACCCTCTAGGGTAAAGATTCAAAACACTTACACCGTTTGAGTAAAGAAACATCTCATCTCACTCATAAACCAGTCATTCACCTGATCCTGAGACTATTAGACTCTCCAGCCAGGGGGCATACATTCACACTGCCTGTGACATCAAACTCCTGTTCAATTTTACGTTTCAATGAGATCACCTCTCATTCTCTAAACTCTAATCTGAATCTACTCAATCTCTGCTCTTATGAAAACCTACAGACATCAGTTCATGTCAGATCATTGCATCCAATTCATGGTGAACTGAAACAGAACTACTGACTCCAGATCTAATCTGGATTCAAACACTAACTTCTCCATTTATGCAGTTGGGTAAGTTCCTCATTAAAATGATCAGCAAAGGGATTTACATAGGATATATGGTTCAAAGCAAGCCCTTCTGCTCACCACGTCTGCACTGTTGTTTTATTTTCCTCCTTTGAATTGAATATCATAATCTTTTCTCCCTCGTGTACCTGACTAGTTTCTCTTTATATACATAAAGTCAGAGGGTCACACAGCACAGAAACAAACCCTTCCGTCCAACCAGTCCATGCTGAACATAATCCCAAACTAAACTAGTCCCACCTGCCTGCTCCTGGCTCATATTCCTTCAAACCTTTCCCATTCATGTACTTATCCAAATGCCTTTTAAACATTGCAATTGTA